TGGTTTGCCAGGTATCCCCAAAGTCGGTCCTGGAGGGCCGCTGTCCTGCAGGTCTTAGAGGTTTCCCTGCTTTAGCACAGCTACAGCCACCCTCCAGGACGGCGCCCCTCCAGGGAGGGCGGCGGCTCTCCAGGACCATCTTTGGTGTTTTTATGAAGGAAAACCAGCTGATAGCGTCCAGCCATTGGTCCTCCTGGATCAGCCTGAGGCGGCCATTTTCATTTGCTTTTAGTGGTCGACTCTCCAGCGAGCATCCATGCAGTAACAGACAATGGAGCTTTAGGCTCCGCCTCAAATCGGCTGCTAATGGCTGCGGTAACTAAGCAACCAACTGAACCGTTCTAACGCATCACAGCAGCTCTGGCTCCTCTAAACGCCTCATTTACCAGAACCATCAAACCGGCACTGATTTAAGGCCCCCCCCATGGTCCTTAATCTCTTCATGAGGGTCAGTAAATTGGCTTTGACCTGATAATGAAATATAAAAAAATATAAAAATTTTTTATAAAATGTAAATCCCTTTATTGTCCTCAATGGGGAAATTCCCTCTGCCTTTAATCCCTCCCTATGGGGATCAGTGGGCTGCCATTGTGCGGCGCCCCAGGAGCAATGTCATTTGTCATTTGTTGCAACTTCAATTGTTTGCAATATTTGCAACTTAAATTCATATTGTTTTTCATCATACCTAAATAAATTTTATCACAGTTTGTATTTAACTGGTAATAAACATAATTTTTTTCCAGAAATGTCAGAATCTTCATCTTGAATGTAGGTCCCTGGTTTTCTTTTCTATAAATTGAATAATCTCAAACATTTTTAGAACAACATTAACATATAGATAGAATACCAGCAGCATATATTCTGCTGATGAAGGAGTTTACTCTGCAAAGCACTGATGGTGGCGCCAGCGTACGGCAGCCTGGCTTCAGCCAGCGAGCCCCAGGCAGCGGTGGCAGCCCTGTAGCTCACCTCCATCACTGAAGGTGGAGTAAAGCGCTTTGGTGTCGTCTTTATCAGGCCGTTTGTCTTCAGAGAGATCACGGTTAATATTTCCATAAAAAAACATTCTAATAATAAAAGCAACTTTTTTGCAGCAGAATTCATTATTAGTTTTAATTAAATATAAATTTGAATTTTATTTTCAAAATGGATGAAAAAAAAGCAATTCAATTCAATTCAATTTTCAATTCAGTTTATTTATATAGCGCCAAATTCACAACACATGTCATCTCAAGGCCCTTTACAGTTCAACCAGATCAAATTGATACAAAGTTTTCTATCTAAGGAAAACCAGTTGATTGCATTGACTCATTGACTCAAATACAATCCCCCACACTAAGCATGCTTGTAGCGACAGTGGAGAGGAAAAACTCCCTTTTAACAGGAAGAAACCTCCAGCAGAACCAGGCTCAGTGTGAGCGGCCATCTGCCGAGGCCGACTGGGGTTCAAGGAGACAGAAGCAGAGATACAAAAAGCAGCTGTAAAAGGCGGCCCCGTCCAGGAAACACACAGCCAGGCAGACGAGCTCCAAGGCAGCTCCCATGCCAGAGGACGAAGAAAGCACATCCACTCAGTCACGGTCAGAGAAACAGGACCACACTGGAAAACAGGCCGATCTCCAACATCTATAAACAAGGGTGTTGATAGAAGCAGCACAGCTGATGTTTCTTTCCAGGATGACGTCACAGCCAAACAGGAACAGACGAGGCAAAGCTACTCTGAGGAAAAGCAGAGAGAGCAGAAGGTTAGAGATTGAACTAACAGATTCTGCAGAATAGGAGAACAGAGAGAGAATGAAGCAGAATGATGAAATGGGGGTCCCTATGTCCTCCAAAAGTCTAAGCCTATAGCAGCATAACTATAGAGATAGCTCAGGATAACCTGAGCCACTCTAACTATAAGCTTTATCAAAAAGGAAAGTTTTAAGCCTAGCCTTAAAAGTAGACAGGGTGTCTGCCTCACGGACTAAAACTGGTAGTTGGTTCCACAGGAGAGGAGCCTGATAACTAAAAGATCTGCCTCCCATTCTACTTTTAGAAATTCTAGGAACCACTAGTAAACCTGCAGATTGAGAGCGAAGTGCTCTGTTAGGAACATAAGGAACAATCAGATCTCTGATATAAGATGGAGCTTGGCCATTTAAGGCTTTATATGTGAGAAGGAGGATTTTAAATTCTATTCTTGATTTAACAGGAAGCCAATGAAGAGAAGCCAGGATAGGCGAGATATGATCTCTCTTTTTAATTTTCATTAGAACTCTGGCTGCAGCATTTTGGATCAGCTGAAGGCGTTTAACTACAGTTTGTGGACTTCCTGATAGTAAAGAATTACAATAGTCCAGCCTTGAAGTAACAAATGCATGGACTAGTTTCTCAGCATCACCCCTGGACAGGATATTTCTAATTTTTGCAATGTTCCTCAGATGAAAGAAGGAAATTCTAGAAACCTCCTTGATATGGGACCTAAATGACAGGTCCTGATCAAAAACAACACCAAGATTTTTTACTTTATTATCTGAAATCAGTTTAATCCCATCCAAATGAAGTGACTGGCTAATCAGTTTCTTTTTCAGAGACTCTGGTCCAAAGACTATAACTTCTGTTTTGTCTGCATTCAGAAGCAGAAAGTTAAGAGTCATCCAGGTTTTTATGTCTTCAAGACATGCCTGTAATCTATGTAATGGGTTAGCTTCATCTGGATTATAGACAGATATAGCTGGGTATCATCAGCATAACAGTGGAAATTAATCCCATGCTGTCTAATAATTCTACCAATTGGGAGCATGTATAAAGTAAAGAGAATTGGTCCTAGCACTGATCCCTGTGGTACTCCACAGGTAACCTTTGAGCGTGTTGAAGATCTATCATTAACATGAACAAACTGAATTCGATCAGATAGATAAGATTTAAACCAGTCTAGTGCTGTTCCTTTAATTCCAACAAAATATTCAAGTCTTTCTAAAAGAATATTATGGTCAACTGTATCAAATGCAGCACTAAGATCCAACAGGACGAGCACAGATACAAGTCCATTATCTGAGGCCATGAGAATATCATTAGTGACTTTCACCAGAGCTGTTTCAGTGCTATGATGAGCTCTAAAGCCAGACTGAAACTCTTCAAAAAGTTCATTATGGTGGAAGTGATCGCAAACTTGTTTGGCAACTACTTTCTCAAGAATTTTGGATAAGAAAGGAAGATTGGATATAGGTCTATAATTGACCAAGTCATCTGGGTCAAGAGACGGTTTCTTAAGCAGAGGTTTAATTACAGCAACCTTAAAAGCTTTAGGTACATATCCCTGTAACAGAGATAGATTAATCACATCTAAAATGGAGGAGGAGATCAAAGGGAATACCTCCTTAAATAACCTGGTTGGAACTGGATCTAACATACAAATTGAAGGCTTAGATGAAGACAATAATTTTGCTAATTCAGAGAGTTCAACTGGATCAAAGCAGTCTAAACCCAGTTCAGATTCCATGACTACCTCAGGTACAATTGCGGATAGAGGAGTGCTTATGATCTTATTTTTAATAAGATCAATCTTATTTATAAAGAATCCCATAAAGTCATTGCTGCTAAGAGCAGGTGGAATGGACGGTTCAACAGAGCTATGGCTCTGGGTGAGTTTGGCAACTGTATTAAAAAGAAATCTAGGATTATTCTTATTCTCCTCTATTAATGAGGAGAAGTATGCTGCTCTTGCTTTACAAAGGGTCCTCTTATACAGCAGTAAACCATTTTTCCAGACTAGGAAGGACTCTCGCAGGCCTGTGGAGCGATATTTTCTCTCCAGTTTCCTAGCATTTTGCTTCAAAGTACGCAGCTCTGCATTAAACCAAGGAGCAAGCTTTCTATTTTTAACGGTTTTCATTTTCAAAGGAGCTGCGTTGTCTAAGGCAATACGCAGAGAACTAGCAACCCCATCAACAAAATCATCAACCTGTGAAGGGGAATAAGCTAAACTTTTGCACTCTGCAGCACTGCTCAGTGACACAGAGGAGAGAGAAAGTGAAGCAGATTCTTTAAAATTTATAACTGCACTATCTGATAAAGATCTACTAAAATTGAACCTTCTTTTGGGGGAGGAGAACTCTGTTAAAGTAATCCTGAAGGTTATTAGAAAGTGGTCAGAGAGGACAGGGTTGTGAGGAAATACTGTTATTTCTTCACATTCTATGCCGTATGTCAGCACAAGATCCAAAGTATGAAGATGAGAATGCGTGGGACTATTCACATTTTGAACAAAGCCAATAGTGTCTAAGATAGCATTAAAGGCTGCTCTTAAGCTATCGCCTTCAATGTCAGCATGGATGTTAAAATCTCCCACTATGATGACCCTGTCAGTATTTAATACCAAATCAGAAACGAACTCTGAAAACTCATCTAAAAATTCAGAGTAAGGACCTGGTGGACGATACAAAGTTACAAAAAGAAGAGGTTTTCTTGCCTTGAAATTTGGATCAGGGAAATTAAGGGTTAAATGTTCAAAAGAGTTGTAGGTATTAACTGTTTTGGGAGTAATCAGTAAGTCAGACTGGAAGATTGTTGCTACTCCTCCTCCTCGCCCAGAACTTCTGGGGATGTGAAAATTTAAATAGCTTGAAGGAGTTGCCTCATTTATGCTCACATAATCCTCTTGCTGCAGCCAGGTTTCTGTAAGGCAAAACAAGTCAATGTGATTATCACAAATCAAGTCATTAACTAGTAGACTTTTAGAGGAAAGCGATCTTATGTTAAACAGACCGCATTTAATTGTTTTAACTTTTTCCCCAATTTGAGTTATTTTGATTTTAATTAGATTATCATGATTTACTCCTTTGGGAATCTTTGCTAATTTATTAGATTTTGGTCGTGGGCAAGACACTAAGCACAAAAGCAAAACCCATTTATTGCTCTATTTAAAACTATACATGTAAATGAACAGATTATTTCAGCGTGTTTTTTCCCAGCATTGTTTAGACTGAATGATTTAAGCTGCTCTGCTCTCTGTGCAGCTGGAGGAGGAGCTGCTGGGTCTGCAGAAGAAGCTGAAAGGAGTGGAAGATGAGCTGGACAAATACTCAGAGTCCCTGAAGGATGCCCAGGAGAAGCTGGAGCAGGCAGAGAAGAAGGCAACAGATGTGAGAACTTCTTCTTCTACTACAGACCGTTTCCTGTTTACTTTCCCACAACTCTTTAAAGCTCATTTCCAAATAAAACTTTACTTCCTGTTACTTCAGGAGCTTACAGTTTTATTAGAAACAGTCTGTCGTTCCGACTAACGAAACAGAAAGACATGGAGACAGACTGATGGAGCCGAAAGTTAATCAGTCAATATTTATGGTTATTTAATGAGTTTTAAGCAAAAAAGCACAGTGTTTTATTTTGTCATTTCATTCATTTATAAAAATCTAAGTTATAAACTAAATATTTTGTTGAAATAATAAATGATTCGTTTTGAACTTTGATTTTTATAAATGAATGAAGGACAGAGTGACCTTAACAAATGACTCACAGCTGAGCACAACTTAGAGAATCCACCAAACCCTGGGAGTACCCGGAGAGAAGCCATGCATGCACAGGGAGAACATGGGACCTCCATGCAGACAGGCACCAGGTTGGGAATCGAACCCGGAACCTCATTGCTGCAGGGCAGCAGCTTCAAACTGCAAAGCAGGAAGCAGAGAAGGAGTTTTAATGTGAGCTGAAATTAAACCCAGATCAGCGGCAGAACTGCTTCCTTTGGCCCAAACTTATTTTGAAACTGCAGCCGGAAGTCTTTCAGAGCGGTTACCATAGAAACGCGGTGACGCCGTGGAGAAGCTCGGAGCTCCGCTGCCGCCGGATGGCGACCTTCACGTCCATAGACGCGGTTCGGAGGAAGATCCAGACCCTGCAGCAGCAGGTCTACGAGGCGGAGGAGCAGGCAGACCTCCACCAGCATGAGGCGGACATGGAGAGGCAGGCCAGGGAGAGGGTAACCTCACATTACACCGCTGGCCTCCAGGGGGCGCTGCTGAGGCCGCAAGACTCATCATTGACCATAGAGACGCCTCATGAGGGCGGCCATCTTGGGTCAGACCAGAGTTCAGACAGCTGCTGTCAGACTGAGCAGACGGCGCCTTAGATCTCTCTAAAATCCCATTAAAGGCGAATTAGAGATAATATTATAATAATCTCTGACATGAAACAACCACTCTAATTCTAAAATGACCTTTCTTTCTTTTTAGATTTAATTAGATTAAAAACTATTTACATTAAACTTAAACTGAATGAGATATATGCAGTTATATATTTTGCAATAAATAAATATAAACACAAAGTTTTATATTAATATATAATGCAAATATTATATATTTATATGATATATTATTATTATTATTCAGTATTTTTAAGGATTTGATAATGAGTATTATTATCTATAGAAGGAAATTTGTTGTAATGTGATTTACAAAAGAGACAAAAGTTATTATTTTGTTTTTTATTGTTCATTTTATGTTAATTAAAAAAATAATAATTTTCAAGACTTTTTTATCAAATTGTAATAAAAGGTAAATTGATGTTGTGTCCAACTAAAGGCTTTTTGTCCATATATATATACATATACATATGCCTGTATATCTACCATACACATATAAAATAATATTTTATAATATCAATAATATTAATATTTAATTGCAAAATATATATCCTTGCATGTATCTCATCCAGTTTGAGTTTGGTTTAAATAGTGTAATCCAACTGAAAAGTAATTTTAGAATTAGTTTTGTTCTTTTAAGTGGTTGTTTCATGTCAGAGATTATTGTAATATTATCTCTGACTCGCCTTTCATGGGATAAAATCAGATCTAAGGCGCCTCCCATTCATTCTGAAAGCAGCTGTCTGAACTGTGGTCTGATCCAAGATGGCCGCCCTCTAGGCACATCGGGCATGGTCCAACGTAAATAATGTCTATGCCGATGACTCCCAATAAACGTTTATATTTGGGGATTCGGTTGAATGAACGTGTTATCAGGAGGAGTCTGTCTGCGCCGGTTATCTGCGCAGACGGAGCTGATCAGACAGATCTGACTGCAGCAGCCATGGAGGAAAAAGGTCAGGGAGGTTTTCATTCAATCAGGGGATCTGAGCTGCGGCACAAAGTATCTGGAAGTCATAATGATCAGATTGATACTTTAATACTTTTTTTCTGTCAAAGAGGAGAAGAAGGTTTGAAACAGCCTCCTTTTATTCGCCGGCTGCTGTTTGCAGATGGATGAAGGTCTGCGGGTTGTTCTGTGGTTTTTTTCTCTGCTCTCTGGTCGGTGGATGCAGATGCATTACGTCCCTCTTAATAGTCCAGGTGTGTCTCTGTTCCCACAGGCGGAGGCAGAGGTGGCCTCCCTGAACAGGAGGATCCAGCTGGTGGAGGAGGAGTTGGACCGAGCTCAGGAGAGGCTGGCTACTGCTCTGCAGAAGCTGGAGGAGGCAGAGAAAGCTGCAGACGAGAGCGAGAGGTGAGCAGCTTCATGTTGAGGAGAATCATCCAGAGGAATTCTCTCTGGTCAGTTTCTAAATCAGTATCTTTACATCATTTCCTCCATACATTATTAAGATATAAAATATAAGCCCTGAAAAGTCTGACTGTTGGTCCAGAAACAAATGAAGGTTCCACCTCCTTCCTCTCCTCAAACATGTCCAACCCGAGGCTGTTCTGGCCTGACTGGGAAATGGACCAGTCAGAACTGGGCCGCGTTCATTCATTAAACATCTGAAAACAAACTGGATTCATCTTCAGCTGAGTTGCTCCTGAGATGTAAACTGATTTCTGTTCTCATCAGAGGAATGAAGGTGATAGAGAACAGAGCAACAAAAGACGAGGAGAAGATGGAGATCCAGGAGATGCAGCTGAAGGAGGCCAAACACATCGCTGAGGAGGCCGACCGTAAATATGAAGAGGTGGGTCCATCTCTGCTTTACAGCATCATGAACATCTCCTGCAGCAATAACCTACATCACATCAACTTCTAGAAGAAAACCAGCAGAAAGGAACAAAAAGAATGTCAGTCAGTCAGTCAGTCAGTCAGTCAGTCAGTCAGTCAGTCAGTCAGTCAGACAGACAGTTGGCATCAATATATATGGGTGGGGCTGAAAGACTTTTACTGTATGAGAATAAAAAAAGGGAACCGCCCTCACCTGGGTTATGATTCAGGATTAATAATCCAGAATAATCCAGATGAGGGCTGAGGAAGCTTCCTTTGAATAATCCTGATCTCTGCAGGTGGCACGGAAACTGGTGATTCTGGAGGGAGATCTGGAGCGTTCAGAGGAGCGCGCTGAGGTGGCTGAGGCGTAAGTGAACAGAGCGGCTCTTATTTATTAGCATCATTACATGTTTTTCAATTGAAGATCAAAGAAGTTTAGTAATAATCCAACTTCTCTGATGTCACAGTCTGATCTAGAATAAAATATCTTCCTGTTTAGCAGCACAGCAGCAGCTGCTGTTTACACTCTGATTGGATCAGAACCCCTTCAGAACCTCTGACCCAATGATGGTCAAACAGAAGCAATTCTGACTTTAGTTTTTATTATGGAGAAATTTTACCTGTTTCTGCTTCCAGCATCATGTGACCAGATGCACAGCTTCACTGCATGAATGATGAGTGGATTAATGATGAATGGGTTAATGGTTGGATAACGAATGCATGAACAATCGATCCATTAATGATGAATGCATTGATGGATTAATGCATGGATGCATTAATGCAGTAATGGATGAATGCATTAATGGATAAATGATGAATGCATTGATGGATTAATGCATTAATGGATGAATAATGAATGCCTTAATGGCTAAATGTATTAATGGCTGAATGCATGAATGCCTGAATGCAGTAATAGATGAATGCAATAATGGCTGAATGCGCTGCTGTTTCCTGTCTGCCCGCTCACTGCCCCATCCCGGACTAACCCCCTCCAGGAGAGTGGGAGAGCTCGAGCAGGAGCTCAGACTCATGGACAAGAATTTGAAGATGATGATGTGCGGTGAGGAAGAGGTACCTCTACTAACCTTCGTCTCAGTGGATCTTCTCATTTCAACATTTTTCTTCCTTCTTCACTCAATAATTCATTATTTTCTCCAACATTACCTTGGAAATAATTTGCTTCCTTTTTCTATTTTGACGAACAAAAATTTAAATAACTTAAAAAGAGAAACCAAAAAAAGATCCGTTGATTTTCTGAAGTTGTGGCGTCCTGAGAGGAGCGCCACGGTTGGTCCAGCCATGAATGAATCACCTTTAGAGCTTCAGCGATGATTTGAAGCAAAACAAGGCCTGACCTCCACAGAGACCTCAGATGCTGGAAGGAGGTCAGGGAGGAAGATGATGGACCAGGCCTTCATCCACACGCTGCAGCTACAGCTGCCCTCGCGGCGCTGACAGAAGCCAGGCTGAGATGGTTTAAGGAGGGGATCAAACCAGCAACCTACCAGCTGCAGGACGAAGCTCTGAACATCTTCCTCATTCCCACTTTCCTTTGACGTCTAGTTTGCAACATTTAGTCTAAAAATATCTGATTTAAAGTTAGAGAGAAAAATTATTCCCAGAATCTTTTTCTCACGTTTTTGGAAACTAAAATATTTGGAGTTTTAGAATCTAAAATCAAACGCTGGTTTCCTCTAATGCTAATAGTTCGAATGACTGACTTTTTTTTAAAATCGCAGTTATTTTATTTTATTTGTTTGTGATCTTGTTTTGAAACAGAAGAGTGAAGCAGACGGCCTATTTTGGCACGTTGAGGAGAAGATTAGATGTTTTACTTGAAGCTCTGTGGCTGATGACATCATCACTACAGGGGAAACCTTTGATGCTCGTTAACATGGCGGCTGATTTGGAGGCTTTGCTTGATTTATTTTGACGCTTCCTGTTTGATAAATGTTCTGCATTTCTATAATGTGGCTGCAGATGTTTCAGGTGCATGAAGGATCTCTGCAGATTGTTCTGCTGGGTTCCGTTAACCAGACTAACCTCAGTGGGAAGTTCTAAGCAGGAACCTTTAGACATGTTCTTCACCTCAGAGTTTGACATTAACATTCAGCGAATCATTAATGAAACATCTCAGGATTGGTTCCCACTATCTGGACCTTTTCTCTCTGAACCTCCTGCAGTCGGTAGAAAAGCCCAGAGTTCTTTAGTTCTTTAGTTGCAGCTCGTTTTGACCAAAGGAACCAAAGTAGATTTAGTTTGAACCTTTTCTTTCTGACTCCTGCTATGTTGGAGAATCCGTGGTTCCTTTGCATCCTGATAGACCTAAAGCATTATATCCATCATATCCAATGACATCATCGGTTACTTCTGTTAAACATGTTTGTGGTCTATCAAACAGCTTCTGCTTTTCAAATTTCTGCCTTTTCTTCTGCTGCTTTTCTTCTTTCCTGTTGCTCAGTAAATCGGCTGACCTAGAGGAAGAGTTGAAAAATGTCACCAACAACCTGAAGTCTCTGGAAGCCCAGGCTGAGAAGGTACGGTGAGCAGCCGTCTTTCAGCTACGTCTGGCTGGACGAAGCAGAAAGTTGCTGCTACAGGAACAAACCAGCTCATGTGGAGGAAATCAAAGCTGCTTTTGTTACCATAACATTTTAAGAGGCTCAGAAAAACATAAATCTTGTGGATATTTTTCTAGCTTCATGTTTCCACCTTTGTTTCCCGTTATTTAAAACGATCGACCATGGATCCGCCATCAACAAACTGAACCTTTGAACTTTCCCTCTTTGCTCTTTCAGTACTCCCAAAAGGAGGACAAATATGAGGAGGAGATCAAAGTGCTGACAGAGAAGCTGAAGGAGGTAAGAACATTAAAATATCTGCACACATTTAAACATTAATAAACAGGAAAATTAGACCCTGTGACTAAATTAGTCTTCTTCCTGTTTGTCATAAATCAAAGTGAAAATAAGTGAAATGAGATGGAGAAGGAATCCAATGCAGAAAGCAAAGTGTCGGGGGAATGACTGACAATGCTTCTGCTTTTTAAAACATGGTTTGACTTTAACTGAGGAATGAAAAGAAACGGCTGAACATTGAGCCCTGTGGGAGGAGAACAGGCTGCTTCTCCTTAAACCAGCAGCTGCTCCCTCTCCATGGATGAGCTTCTCCTCAGCGCTGCACCACATGCTGCTCTGTGATAAACGCTGTGCTGCGATGTTCACCTGTTCACCTGTGATGATCTGTGCTTTGCCTGCAGGCTGAAACCAGAGCAGAGTTTGCAGAGCGGTCTGTCGCCAAGCTAGAAAAAACCATCGATGACCTTGAAGGTACGTTTCCAGGCGGATCTTTAAAACGGGTCTGAGCCTGATTGGATGATTGGGTTCAACTTACTGAGATCCCTTCAGAAAAAAAACAACAAAAAAAACAAAACAAAACATTAACAGCAGCCAGGGGGGGAGGGGCTAGACGGTGTGTTGTGTTCTCATAATCAACGTCTGCTGGAAACATAACAAACTCTGTGTTTATAGGATGGATGATTTAATTTCACTTCCCTAATAATAGCAAAGAAAGATTTGTTTAAATTCTCCACTAAGAAGAAAATGAATCATTTTATGAATTGTTTTATTATTGATTCAATATTATGACTGTTACCCCGAAATGACAACACAGGAACAGCTTCTTGCAGACGGGCGCTTTGTTTGTTAATTTGATGCTGTGAAAAGTTAGAACTTTATAAAGCTACAAAAAGAACAGTTGCTTTACCAAAAATCACCCCAAGACCTCCTGCCTGCTAAAGTACAGCCTCTCACAGCCATGTGCACTCTAAACACATACACAATTAGAACACAATAGACAACAAATGTACAAATATTTCAACACAATAATTAGAAAATCCCTTTAAGAGCGAGCAAACCTGCTAAGCAGGCTGCTGCAGATCATTCACAAAAGGTCACCATGTGTTTTATGCTGAATACATAGCTAACCCTAAACTTAAACCTAAACCCTACCACTAACCCTACCCTTAAACCTAAACCTAAACCCTACCACTAACTCTACCCATAAACCCTAAACACTACACCTAACCCTGACCCTAAACATACCACTAACCCTAAACCCTGAGCGTAAACCCTGAGCTTAGACCCTACCCTTAAACCCTAAAACACTACACCTAACCCTGACCCTAAACATACCATTTACCCTAAACCCTGAGCTTAAACCCTACCCCTAAATATACTATATACTAAATGTGTCTTATATATAAGATAAACATTTTAATATGAGCCAAAACAAATTAAACCAAAATATTTTAACCTCTGAAAACAATTATTTTATTTACTGCAGAAATAATAACATTAGTGAGACAATCCCCATTGTGTGATTTTCTAAAACTCTGCAGGTCAGATCTATTGGTAGGTCTGTAATAATCTGAGGATAGAGAATGTCTGTTTGTTTAATCTCAGCCTGTTGGATTATCTGTAATCTGTCAGACCAGTGAATGTTTCTATTGGTTGTTTCTTAACTTCTTTTCTCTTTTCTCTCATTTCATTTCTATGTGTCCATCCTGGTTGTCTGTCCTCCGCGTCTCGTCCTTCTGTCCATGTCCTCTTACAGATGAAGTGTATGCTCAGAAACTGAAGGGCAAGGCTCTGAGCGAGGAGCTGGACCTGGCTCTCAACGACATGACCACACTGTAGAGGCTCCTCTCAGATCCTCCTCTGCTCTCCCTTCTCCTCCTTACGTCTTTCTTCCAAAGAGCAGCCATTTTCTCCTTTCTTAATCTGCTACCTGTCCTCAGGTCTCAAGTTAAAGTCATGTATGAAGTATTTATTAAAATCTGCTTCCCTTCATTTCCGTAATAAAACTTTTTATCAGGATCTAATTCTGTCTTTTCTGAACTTCCTCTTCATTTTTCCTCCTGTCTTCCAAACATGAACTCTGCAGCATATGTTACCTGATGGATGGGATATGAAGCGCTGTTTGTTCTGGAGGCAGAACCTGGACCTGGTGACGGTTTCTCACCTGCAGGGAATGTTCTAGACAGAGAGCTGCACATCCCACCTACAGTTAAATCGGCAGAAAAACAACAGCAGTTTATAATAATGAAAAAAAAAATTATAAAATAAATAAAAGAAAAAAGAAAGGAACTCCCCTATGAAGCCATTTTATTAGGTACACCTAGCTGTACTGGGTTGGACACATTTTTGCCTTCAGAACTGCCTTAATCCTTGTGGACTAGATTCAACAAGGAACTGGAAACATTCCTCCCACAGTTTGGTCACATTGACACCATAGCATCACAAAGATGTTGCTGATGCAATCAGTTGGTTCTCCTTAGATAGAAAACTTTAATCTGACTGGTTGATCTGGTTGAATTGTCTCTGCAAACTGACCTGAGATGAAATGATGTGAATTGGACATTTGAAATAAACTGAATTGAATTTGTCATTTGCACATCTATGATGCAAATCTCTTCTGGATTGAGATCTGGTGACTGTGGAGGACATTTCAGGAAGAGTGCATTTATGGTCACGTAGAAACCAGTCCCAGCTCTACGGGGAAAAAATAGGTTTGCATGGCTTTCACTGCATTATGTATCGCAAAGAAAACTATCGTCATGAATTGGAAAAGTAAGGATAAACTCAGCATCAATCAGTACAGAGATCTGTTGTTGGATCATATTAATCTAGAGACAGCATCTGCATCCCCATCAGACCGATCTCTCTGGGCTCCCTTCATCGGCTCCATCACTTAGTGTAGTGGGGGGCTGTGGGGCGCGGGGGCTGGTTTGGGGGGGACCCCTGGGTCCTGGGGGCTCTGGGGGGTGCTCAGAGTGGGGTCCCTGGTGGATCTTACCCCGGAGTCTGTTGCCCCATCGAGGCAAAGCTTGGGACGCCTCGGGGTGTCTTACCTCGGCTGGGGGATCTCGGGGCCTGTTGAGCTGGTGGGGGGAAATGGACATAACTTTTTATGACAGATGCTTACCCCTCTAGGGGTTTGCACTCTGCTAGTGGGGGAAGGGGAGGGAGGGGTAGAGGGAATGAGCCCGGCCTGGATGTCTATGGTTGTTTGTGTGGTGAGTGGTTTGAATGTTGTGGGATCTGGATGTGTGAAGGGCTTCATGTCTCAGGCCTGGTCCATGCCATCACCTGGCTTTGTCCGGGGTCAGGGTTCTGCATGGTTTCTGTGGGCTGGCCAGCTAGGATTTTTTTTCCCCCTTTGGATGGACAGGATAGGGGGGTGGCGGTGTCGGCCCTGGTGGCCGGCTGGCTCATGGTCCCTGCCACCTTTCACTGGCCCCCGGGCTATGCTGGTGTGACCGGTGAGGGCCCCCCACTCCGGTGGGGCTCTCTGGGAACGGGGGTGCCTATTGAAGTCAGCGGGGAGCTGGCTCCTTGGGAGTGCAGTAAACCCCCCAGTCCTTTTCTCCTCAACCCCGGACTCCTCCCTCTGACTGCTCCATCACGCTGCCACACATGTAGGTTCTTGGGTAGGGGGGTCGTTACTGGAGGGCCCCACCTTCTGATGACGTCCCCCACCCGCATTTTAGACACTATTAAATAGACACTTTCATCTCCAATATTTTCACAACACACATCTATGTAGGGCATTGTCTGGAGAGGTGGGGGGCAAGGACACTGGGGGGGCTTATTTCATGGGCCTCACCACGGTCGGCTACCCCACCACGTCTCGCATTTAGACATTGAGGCTTCTGGGTTGTCGAATGGGGGGGTGTGCTGGCAACACCTGTCTTCCGGAGGGGGGGTGGACTTAGCTGGACACCCCCTTTTGGTGCTTCCAGTTTTAATTACACCTAAGAGCAACATGCAACAACACCACAGTTGAGCAGGTGTAGAGAGGATCGGGGTCTTCTCACACCCCTGTTCTCCGGCTGCCACCCGGAGTCTGGGGCCTGCAGGAGGAGCGAGCTGCTTGGTCCTGGGTCTAGGCGGGGGGCTGTTGGGGGGTCTGGGTGGCTTGCCAGTGCCGGGGCTGTCACTTCTGCTCTCCCGAAAGGGGGGGGTGGAGGGAGGGGGAATAGGGTATTGAGGGGAGGAAGTGGCCTGGTAAATTATTTAGGGGGAGGAGGAGGTTCTGGTTGGGTGGCCTGGGCAGGGTATGTGGGCCCCGTCCTTGGGGGGGGCTTTTGTCGGGTGTCGTCTGGTCCAGGTGCGAAGCAGGACCTAGATGGGTTAGAGTGGTGGTGACACTGCTGCCCTCCCCCCATCCGGATTTTAGGTTCACTTATTGGGTCATCCGATAATCCCGGGACCAGTGCCGCCGGGTCCTCGGTCCGGGGATAATTGGATGCGTCCGCATTGTTTATTGTTATTGTTCCTATTCACAGAGTCTGTGTGGTGCGAGTGGGGGCACTAGGGTGGGAAGGGGTGATAGAGACTGTGTAATTTATTTTTTGTTTAGGTTGAGGTCTGAACTGCTCCCTCTTCCAAGAACATCTCATGTCTCTGCTAAGTGCAGAGCCCATTCCCCCCGTTCTGCTCTCCCTCCGCTGGCTGGCGCCTGGGCTCGCCTGTGCATTGGTGGAGCTCGGGATTTGGGGGTGGATGCCTCAGCGGGTACTGGCTTATTCCCGGCGGCTGCTCAGCTGGGGGATTTCCTCAGGGCTGTGTCTCCTCCTCCCTTGGTGGGGAGTCAGATTTCCTAGGTTAGCCCCTCATGGGTGCCTTTGCTCTTGGGGTCCCTTTGGGCGACTGGGGTTATGGTTCCCCCGGTACTTGCCTCGGGGCTCTTCAGCTCTCCACAACCACTATTGAGCATTTTTCCTTTGGATAAACTCTACATGCACAGTGCACCCTCACCATCAACTACAGGTGCTTGGTTCCAGGTACTCAGAGATTCACTTCCACACAGAAAGTTCATATTCTACATTCAGCTGCCACAGTATACATGTCAGATTAAATAATATTACTTATACTTCAGCGATATTATCAAGCTGTTACTTTATTGTATCTCTTATACTATATCCGTTGGTTGTTCTGTTCTTTTTACATCTCTTTGCAGGTGATGAAGCAGACTAAAGATGTTTTATCATTATCTCCCTTTTATCTCCTCTTTCTTTCATCTTGTCTCCTTTTTATCTGTTTTTCCTTTCCTGTTCTACTTACATTGCAGCGTCCATATAATCTGTAAAACTCCCTGCATGAAATATAATAAAGCCGTACTGCTCCACTTGTGAAAGCAAAATCTGTTGGGCTCTTTTTGGCATCAAGACAATTACCCCATTTCCACTACCCTTGAAAAGCCAATCCATGCTGAGACCGGTCCGAGCTCGGATCAGTTAACCAGGCCCAGCTCGGTTCTGACGACCGTTTACACATCACGCTATCTCGGTTCCTCGACTCCTCGCTTCCTAGTGACGATCTGCGGTATTACTGCCAGTATTGAAGGAGGAAATCAAGCAGTTGGCGGCGGTAATGCACCAAAGGTTGTTTGCCAACCGCCATAAAACACAAGAAGAAGAAGACGAAGAAGCAGGGAATCAAGCAAATCAAAATGGCGGCGCCCGTCACATTCAGAAAGTTATGCTTGATCATTATTGCCGTACTTCGGTGCTATTATTTAAAATGCCATTATTTAAAATGTTGCGTGGAGAAGATTTCAATTGTTGTTTATAGTTGAAGAGGAAGTTGTTCTTCTTCTTTTTCTGGAGGGGCATTACCGCCAGCTACTGGAATGGAGTGTGAATCGCGATGTGCAGCCAGACGGAGATGATGCGTTCTGCTCATGCGCTCTTGTTATCAGAGAACCGAGCCAGGGAAAAACCGAGCCGAGCCCACCTCTGGAACTGGTCTGCAGTTAGCGCGGTCCGGTTGTGTCTAGCTCGGTTCAGTTCAGTTTGCTTTCCATTTACACACGATTATCTCAGTTACTGAGCTCGGACCGGTCTCGGCACGGTTTTTAAAGGGTAGGGTAAATGGGGTAAATTATTACCACATCGCCAGACAGGACACTGTAAAAAAAAAAGAAAAGAAAAAAGAAACCAGTGTGAGAGGATTGGTGCTTCGTAACATGGCGCCTTATCCTGCTGGAAGCAGCCATCAGTAGATGGACATGATCAGCACCAGTACTCAGGTACTACTAACTGTGGCGTGGACACGGTGCTCATTTGACACTAAGGAACCCAAATGGTACCAAGAAAATACGCCCACACCATCAGCCGGAACCGTTGTTTAAGGCAGAATGGAGCCCCGTTTTCTGGTTGTTGATGCTAGATTCTGACCCAACCATCCGACTGTGGCAGCAGAAATTAACACTCATCAGATAAGTACGTTTTTTAACCTATTATTGTCCCGGTAATGTGAGCTGTGCTCATTGTATCCTCAGTCCATCATCCATCCATCTTCTTCCACTTATCCTGGGTCGGGTCGTGGGGGTAGCAGTAGGGAGTCCCAGACGTCCCTCTCCTAGGCCAGCTGAGAAACACAGTCCCTCCAGCGTGTCCTGGGTCTCCCTTTGGGTCTCCTCCTGGTGGGACGTGCTTGGAACACCTCACCAGAGAGACGTCCAGGAGGCCTCCTAACCAGATGCCTGAGCCGCCTCAACTGGCTCCTCTCGAGTGAGGAGTAGCTTCAGTCTCCTGTTTTTACCGGACATGAGGGGCAGCCGGTCTTGAACCAGCCTGGCCGTCCTCTCTGACCTCTGGTTTCCCTGGATATTTTTCTCTAGAGGTAGTTGTCCATGGAAATCCTTGGATCTGTAGTTTCTGAAGTACTCAGAGCAGCTCGCCTGGCACCAACAACCTCGCAGCGTTCAGAGTCACTTTAATCCCCTTTCTTCAACATTCTGATGATCAGTTTGAACTGCAGCAGATCATCTGGACGAGGGGACGCCAACCATTTTAGGGCTGAGCTCTACTTCATG